TCCCGTGGTGCTTTGCGCGCCCACGAGGATGCGGGGAGGCGCGGAGCCGCGCGGGGCATGACGGGAGATGTAGTCAGGCGGGGCTGATCCGCCCTGGGGAGCGCGGAACGGAGACCAGAGAAAGGTCCTCCACCATCTCCCTGGGCAGCCTGTCCCAAGGCTCGGTCAGCCTCGCTGTAAAGTAGTTTTTCCTCATATTTCCGTGGAACTTGCAGTATTCCAGCTTGTGCCCACTGCCCCTCGTCCCGTCACTGGGAACTGCTGCCCAGAGTCTGACTCCATCCTCCCTGCACCCACCCTTTAGAGCAGAATCGCCCTGGTTGGAAGGGACCTTGAAGATCATCAAGTCCAACCATAACCTAAACCCCCCTCCCATCACCTAATTTACCTATTCAGTGATTAACGGCTTTAGGCAGTTGCAGGCATCAGTAAGATCTCCCCTCAGTCTGGTTTTCCAAGGGCAAAGCCAAAGACAGTCCCTGCTGTGCTGTATTACCTTTATGCCTGCCAGTGCCTCTCAGCACCTTCCAGCTTTTACAAAAACAGGGAAAGGTCATGTCAGCAATAGGAGACCGTAAGTCTGTGCCATGTGGCAGTGGAAGGTGCCTGGAAACCTGTGCTTGCTTTCCACAGACATTTGCACAGCTAGGAGGTGATAAGTGACACGGCTTGTGCTGTGTGCCAGGTTAAAAGAAAGAACCTAGTGAATGGAAACATCTGCTCACTCCCCTTGGGCTCAGTCCCCTCTTCTGTCTCTGCTTCAGGTTCCTTCTCCAGACCTACCTGCAGTCCTGAGAAGCCTTGGCCAACTTGCAGCCTCTTTCTCTGTCCAGTCCTCTCTCCTAATCAGTTATCTCACAGCATCTTGTTAACCTCTACAACCATTTCCAGTTGCTTTGTTCATCCAGATTGTGCTTCCAGGACCCCTCCTGGATTCCTCAAACTTCTCAGTTATTCACATCTATCACCTTCTGTATCGCTTTTAGCCTCTGTCTTTCTGCTGTCCCTTTCATTCTTATTCCTGGGAATCTCATTTGTTCCACTGACTACCTGCTACCTATATAGTTTCCTGGTAGCATTTCTCACAATTCCCTAAACCCCAAATCCCAGTCTTTATTCTCATTTCTCCCAATTTTGGATATAACAGATTACCCGAATGCATCTTCTGGATAAATATCTGGTTAAAGAAATAAGCAACTGAAAATGGGAGGTTTCCACAGGGCAGTTTCAGCCAACATTGCTGCTGATTTCACTTACCACCCAAATTTTAAAGCTAGACTTAGCCATATTTTATTTCACTAAAGCAGCTTTATATTATTTGAAAGCAATTTTTCAACAACTTTAATATTAATATCAATTTAAAAGGTAAAGGTATCCCACCTGTGTCTCATATCCCATGCTTAGTTTTCAAAAAATAAAGGCAAACCTTCATATAAGCATTAGGTTCAGTTTGATTTTACCCTTTAGAACATGCAGAGTTAATGAGGAAATCTCAGAAATAGCAGATGCATCTCTCCTTGACCAGAAAATATTTTCAGTATGTTCTACTTCGAAGAACACTACTTGCAATTTCTTGAGCATCCTAGTTGTGTCATTCCTTACCCTCACAGTAAGACAATCCAGCCAGCAATGAGACATCCTTGGTGCATCTTCCAGTTAATAAATGTATTGTCTAAGCACTGAAACCTAAGCAATGTATTATTAAACCAAAGTAGGAAATCAATTGGAATTGGCGAAACCAGCAATTTCTGTGTCTAAGCAAAGCTTCCTGACTTCGTTTTGAAACTAGTAGGAAGGTCACCATGAAACTGGAAGCTGAAATATTGCCTCCTCCTAGAAGGAACCTAGTAGAAGAACATTGAGACGTAAACAGAGGGGAAGAGATCAGGTATCCAGATCAGAGATGATCTCCAAGCTCCCAAGGCTACCCAGGGAAGTAACTGACTCTCCTGGCATTCCCACATCTCTTTAATGGTTGCACAAGGTCAGTCTTTCCAGGAGCATTTGATGCTCTGCCCTGAGCCCATGAACAGAAAACCCTGTGTGCAAGGTTGAGTCTGAATGGCCCTATATAGCAGTAACTCCTTTATTTGTTTGGTATTCAGCATGCTGAGGGCACTTTTTGGGCTGAACATCCTATGGGGGGTGGTGTCACTGAGCAAGGAAAGAAAGGGAGGCTGAGGTATCTGCTGCAGTTCAGCCTGGAAAAGAGGAGGCTGAAGGGAGACCTCATTTCTCTACTTCTCTGTGCAACTACCTGAGAGGAGGTTGTGGTGAGGTGGGTGTTGGCCTCTTCTCCCGAGGGACCAGCGATAGGACCAGAAGGAATGGGGTCAAGCTGCACCAGAGGAGGTTCAGGCTGGATATTAGAAAAAAATTTTCCCAGAAAGAGTGATGAGGCCTTGCAACAGGCTGGCAAGCGAGGGGGGTGGTGGAGGCACTGTCCCTGGAGGTGCTCAGAAAATGAGTAGAAGTGGTGCTCCGGGAGAGGGTTTAGTGATCACAGGGGTGTAGGGCTGATGGTGACTTGATGTTCTTGATGGTCTTTTCCAAATGCAATGATTCTATGACTCTGTGAAGGATGGAAGGCAAGACAGACAGTCCAGCAGCCTCCAGGGTAGCTCACTTGTTCAGAAATAGAAGATATGGTTTCTGGGCTCTCCTTGGTTTGAGGTGGTTTGAATCCATTACTCCCTTTCCTCAAGGCACCCCCTAGCACAAAGCAATTCTGTGTGATTCTTGACACCCCTTCTGTGGTAGCTGAGACACAAAGTACAAGAGAGAACAAGATTAATGAACCAGGAGATAATAAACAGTGTGACGTTGATGAGGACTTCCTCTAAGGGAAAATACAGCCTGTAGTTCAGGTTTATACAATGTCTTTTCAGAACAGGATTAATTAAGCAGATACAGAAGCCCAGAGCTCCCACATAATTATGGTCAGCAATGACCCAGCCACTCAAGAAGATCAGAAAAGAAATAAAATGGAAAGTAACTGTTCATTTATGCAAAGTAATTATTTAAAATTTTATCCATTAATCAGCAAGTTAATAAATTGTGCATGGCCTCCCTCAAAGACACTTCACAGATACTAATCTACATAAAAAGGAGGTGCCATCCTACCTTTTCCTTCATTTAAAAAAAAAAAAAAAAAAAGACTGATTCTTTGAAGTTTATAAGCCCAGATGAACAGCATCATTGCAGATATGTAAGTTAATGACAAGCTTTTCAAAAGAATGCTACTGTTCTAATGCATTTTTCTACCATGAATAATAGATGCTCATTACTTATTTTCTAGGCATATGCTTTGTACCTTCAAGCCTTGCTAGTGCTGCAAGCAGCCCATCAGCTATTTAAGCCCTGAAGAATATCTGCTGCTTGCAGCAGAAGCTGGAAAACAGCTCTTGCCATCACCTACACAAAACATAAAGGTCAACATCTAGGTGTTTCTCATGAAGTGCAGAGGTGGAACACCTGCTGCTTCAGTGGAGATGCTGGCTCAGAGCTCACTCTCAGGAGGGGCGTGAGGGCTTCCAATCCCTACTCCAAGTCTGGGACATCTGGGTAAGGTCTCTGATGAGAGGGAATGAAAGGGAAGACAGGCCAAAGGAGCAGGGTAATGGCTGGTCAGTGCCTGGCTGATGCCAAATTTGCTTTTGCTGGTTCAAACCACTATAGTCCAGTGAGGCACAACTCTAACAAACTGAACAGCTTTTGTCTAGAAACCTCTTAATGTGATTACAGCCCCTGGAAACAGCTCAATCATTTGGCTTAGAAATTCAAGAAGAAGCCTTTCTCTAATTGGAATGAGTTTAAAAGGCTTCAGAGTCTCTTTTCTCATTTGAGTTGGGTTAGGAACTGTGAGATGTAGGAGAAACATCTTGCTGTTTTTCTTGGTTCCTTAGCAGTGCCTCATGTCCCCTTACAGCTTGGGTTTGTGGGGATTGAAAGGGGTTTTTAGCCTTCCATTGCTCCAAGCCCCTGGGCTTGTTTTGGTTTTGGTTTGAAAGTCAGATCTGGTTGACAGCAGGATGACTATGAGCCATCCATGTGCCCCTGTGGCCAAGAAGGCCAGTGGCATCCTGGAGTGGATTAGAAGGGGTGTGGCTGGTAGGTGGAGAGAGGTTCTCCTCCCCCTCTACTCTGCCCTGATGAGGCCACATCTGGGATATGGTGTCCAGTTCTGGGCCCACCTGGACACATTCCTGTGTGAGCTACTCTAGGTGATCCTGCTCTAGCAGGGGGGTTGGAGTAGATGATCTTTTGAGGTCCCTTCCAACCCCTAACATTCTGGGATAAATATTCATTAAAGGGACTCTTCCCCTTCCCCCAATTCACTTGTTTCTTCTCCCATACTTAACAATTGACAGCGGTTCAGGAAGATGATGGGGACTACTTTGTCTCAAGGTGTTCCTACTGGCACTAGAAGGCCAACTGCTTGACATTGTCTGCAGGGCCCCCTTCCTGTCCTGTGAGCAGGTCACACAAAGCCTGCTGGGCAGCAAAGCTGAGTTGGAGGCTGTGGTCTCCAGGCAAGCCCGCCGTGCTGGTCTGTCAAGCTGGCCACCTCATGTCTGTTGTGCTGTGAACTGAGAACTGCTCAGCTGGCTCTGTGCATCATAGAATGGTTTGGGTTGGAAAGGCCCTGGAGCAACAGTTTCCCCAGCTGAGGAGAGGCCATGGAGTGCAGGACTCGGGATGACACTCCACACCTCCCCAGCCTAGCCAGCCCCACTCCACATCACAGCACAGTGGGCTGCACTGCAGCATCACCTATGCAGAGCCCCCGGAGCCCAAAGAGGGCCGTGATCAGGGTGAGCTGCAGCCCAAGCATCACGAGTGGCAGCATCTGAGCCAGGCTGTGGGTGTGGGAAGTCCCCACGGCACGTGGATCCCTGCTCCACAGCTGGAGGCAGGCAGCAGCAGTGACACGTCCCCCAGGCCTTCAGGCAGCGCCAGAGCCGGGCACAAATAGCCTCACCACTGTTATTACTTCTCCTAGGAATAATGAATTCTAAAATGAATGCCATTTCATATAGTTTTTAGATATGTACAATTGGTGACAATGAAAGGGGGAGGTGTGGATAAGATGGCAGGCATCATTAACAGTGATAATCTGTGTGTAACTTGTCAGCATCCAGTTGAAATGTCAGTGGTTCTGGAAGTGGTGCAAGACACTGCACAGCAGCTGGGTGTGCCTGAGTGAGGAAGAAGTTTAGTAACATTTAGTGAAGCTCAACTAGTTACATACTGCATCTGCAGAACTGCTGGCACGGTATGAACCAGCATTTATGCTACAGTGATGGCCTGAGTGCCTCGTAGTTCATTCTCTGGAAAGTGTCTGGGATTTGCAGAGGCTGAAACCTTGGGGGAGCAGGGATGTGGTTGGGACAGCACTCCAAAAAGGCAGTGGGAGTGCTCAGGCTTCCTGCAGGCTCCAAGGAAACTGTTTGATAGCTGAGCTGAAGTATCTTGAGAACACTTGGAGGCTGGAACCATTTAGCCTCAGTAACTGCTTTACAGCAGCCATCTGACTGAGTCTTCTGTGGCTTCCCATGTCCAGTGCTGAGGGTGAAGTGGGATACAAAAGCGCTAGGGATTTTTCAGCCATGGGGTTTTCTGGGGGGCATTTATAGTGGTACATTCTGATAAGTGAGCTGCTTTGCTTCTGAGGAAGGAAAGGGAGGGTGATGCTTGACTAGAGAGAGGCCTGACACAGTTGAGGTCAGCTTTAACTTCTGTATTAACTTATGAATGTGCTGAAGACTAGGCTTTTAAAATGCAGACAAATGTTCCAGCAGGTTTGCCCGTGGAAAGCTGGATGGATTCAAGGGGTTAATGGAGGAGAAAACTAGAGAATGTGAAGTTGCAAAAGCAGAGGTGGAGCAAGCCCCAGAGAAGAAAAAATTCTCTTTTCAACAGCCAACCTCATCTGCTTTTAGGATTAATAGTGTCTTGAGCGTACACCACTTGGGGGAAAAACCTCCTTGTCAGCATTCAGATCTATAAAGCTCTAGTGAACGTAGAAGTTGTGCATTTATTAAGTTGTGGTGTTTTCTTCCTGAAGTTGCCTAGTTCTAGATTTAAAAATGAGGACAAATCAAATTGTTCTGCATTTCTGGAATATGCAGAGCTAGTAAAGTTACAATAATTGCAAAAGAATTTAAAGAAGAGTTTAATATTTTCCAAAACCTTTAATATTTTAACATATACCTGTCCACAAACTGAAGCTGTGCTCACCCACTTATCTTGAGAGCTCCAGTGCCTTAAGTTCTTCAGCAAAAGTCTGGTGTGACCCCCTCCAAGCAAAAAGCTTTCAGAGAGGCCCACATAATACTGAGGGAGCACAAAGCTGAGGCCTGTACATAGCAAAGGGGCAGAATGGGTCTGTTTCCCATCCAGCTCCGCTTCCAAGAGTGGCCCTTTAGCATAAGCACCTGAGTGTTCACTCATAGGGGCCGACTCTGAGATGTTCCCAGTCCTGCACCCCACAGCCACTGAGTAGCTGGGGAACTGTTGCTCCCACAGGATCCCTGCTCCACAGCTGGGGGCAGGCAGCAGCAGTAACGCCTCCCCCAGGCCCCCCTCCATGCTGCTGGGGGGGAAGGAGGGTCCTCCAGGGAGGATCTCACTAGGGGCAGCCAGTGTC